AAGAAGATTTTAGAAAAAAGAAGACGTCAAATGGTAAGTTTAATTTTTTTTTTACAGGTTAGTTATTTTATTCCCCCCTCACTATTTTTAGGGTGAGGGGGGTAGGTAGGGGGTAGGTTTTTTTGGGTGGGGGTGACTAGGGGCTTGGGACCCCTAGTCACCTTGATTGGGGGGGGTGTTTCATTTAGGGCCCCCACCCACCGCTCAGGGGTGGGGGCCGGGGGGGGAGGACAGTAGGTCCCCCCCCTTATTGTTTTATTAGGGCCCCCACCCACCGCTCAGGGGTGGGGGCCGGGGGGGAGGACAGTAGGTCCCCCCCTTATTGTTTTATTAGGGCCCCCACCCACTGCGCAGGGGTGGGGGCCAGGGGGGGAGGACAGTAGGTCCCCCCCCTTATTGTTTTATTAGGGCCCCCACCCACCGCGCAGGGGTGGGGGCCAGAAGTTCCCCCCCATATCTTTATTTAGGGCCCCCACCCACCGCTCAGGGGTGGGGGCCAGGGGGACAGTAGGTCCCCCCCCCATCTTTATTTCGGGCCCCCACGGGCATGGGGGGGGTATTAGTTTTTTTTTTGTTTTTTTTTACAGTGAGCAGCTATATGCTGCTCACTGCTTACTACACATGCCCCTACTCGCGGTATAGCGAGTAGGGGCATTTAATTTACTAATACTAAGTAATCTTTACTTAGTATTAGTAAATGTGGCTGAAAGACCAATTTAGGTCTTTCAGCCTTTTAGTAGATAGCTCCCTGATACCGTGGGAATTAGGGAGTTATCTACTAAGCGGCTGCAAGATGCAGCCACAGCAATGAATAGGATCAGAGTTTCATTCATTAGAATGAAATTCCGATCCGAATAAAGTGCCGAATTGCGTTCTAAGAGAAACGAACAGACTGTTCTCATTCAGTTAGAACGCAATTCGGCAGTTTTGTGTAAAATGACAGGAAGCATCGTGGGAACACAGAGGGAAGGTAAGGATCATGGGAAAATTGCTCTGACCAGCGGAAATGAAGCACACTTTGCTCCTCCGCTGGTCAGAGCTGGTCAAGCGGAGGAATCCTCCATAAGGCAAAGAGTCCCTACTTTGTCTTATGATTTTAAAGAAAACTAAAGAAGACAGGAAGAAAAGAATAACAGATCCTGAGAGAGGGGGAGAAGAGGAAGAGATTGAGGAAAGGTAAGTTCGGCATGACAGTGCCGCTTTAAAGGAGCACTACAGGCACCCAGTCTGGGTGTCAGGTCCATCTAGGTTTAACCCTGCCTGCTGTTAACATAGCAGTTTCAGAGAAACTGCTCTGTTTACATATGGGTTAATCCAGCCTCTAGTGGCTGTCTCATTAAATGGCACTACAGGCATCTTTTGCGCTTCACACAAGCTCAAAATTGAATATACACTATTGAATGAAACATCGCCTGTAACTAGTGTTAACCTTTTTTCAGGCGATACATTTTCTTTTACATTACTGTATATCATATATTTCAAAAGTTACATTACAGTCCAGTTCGGACAAGGCAAAGCCAGGGCAAATATTGCAGATTAGGAGCAGGAACAACAACACTGTTTATTTTCTCCATGCTTTCTCTATGCTGACTGCCAGGTGCAAAGGACGTAGTTTATAACAATGATTAACAGGGAGCAAAGATGGAGGCACCCAGTTGCAGGATAAATGAGTGGATTTTGACATTTAATTTCATTTTTCACACCTTACAGATACATATTTCTTATATACAAGGATAAGTAATCATAGTATTAAACATGCTCTTTACCGCTTTTGTATTACCACTGTCAGTGTGTTTTTTCTATAGCATCCAACAATGTGGACACAGCAAACAGCTGGTTCATTGAGTGTTTTAGGGAGTATTCCCTACTGCTGCTTTAGTCTATCTAGAACAGTGAATATGAATTTCCTCCTGGAGCACCTGTAGTTTGGCAGTGAGAACTTTTCGACATTCTTCATCTTCTCTTTAAAATGTATCTGCAATGGTACGGAAGTTTATCTAGTTAAACTAGTAACTTTTATTTCATCTATACACTGTGCTTGTGCAATTGCTCGCAACTGTAAAGATTGAAAATGCAAGTCCTTCCTCTACCTAAAGGAACACAGACATGTATTCCTGACCATAGAGTGTTAAAAAAAAAAAAGAAAAAAAAAAAAAAACACCAGCTAACCCCTTAGCCCCCTTTTCCCCCCCTTTCCCACCTTAATATATAGTAAAAGCTGCTGGCTCTGCACCTGACCTGCCTGGCGGACATCATCAGAAGTGATGATCTGAGCCAATAACAATGCATCCCATAGGATATGTTGATCTTGTCAAGGAGGCAGATCAGAGGCAGATCCAGCACAACCCGAATACAGCCCCGGCCAATCAGCATCTCCTCATAGAGATGCATCTCTATGAGGAAAGTTCAGTGTCTCCATGCAGAGGGTGGAGACACTGTGCAGCACTGCCCCAGGGAGCACCTCATGCAGCCATATGAGGAGTGGCCAGTGAAGGTATCCCTAGGCTGTAAAGTAAACACTGCATTTTCTCTGGAAAGACCGTATTTACTGCAAAAAGCCTGAAGGGAATGAGTCTACTCACTATAACGAATACAATAAACTGCAGTTCTGGTGACTATAGTGTCCCATTAATCTACTCTTCATTATAGTCCGTATAGACCATTATGTCGACAACTGACAAAGCATTTATACAAGCAGTTCTCCTATTCTACAGAGCATGCACTACATTTGCCGTTACAGCTTCTTTAGCCAATGCTTCTAGCTCTATGCACAGGGAGTATTCTGCCCATGAAGCCAAAGCAGCCTAAATTTAGGAAATGTCACCAAAAGTTACCCTATCAGGGACACAACAGGAGTGAAGTGAAAACTAGAGATGCGTGTTACTATGATTATGATGGAGCTGAAGTGAAGGCAATAATGGATTTCTTTCAAAACTTTAAAATGTACCTGTATGCCAAATTATATGTTCACTATCTATGGAGGGGGTGAAAGTCACATTAACATCCTCCTTTGGTTAAGGAATTAAGGAAGTTACCTCATCTTCCTTTTGGAGGCTCCATGGAATCTAAGGTGCCGAGCTGGGAATGGACATCTTAGGACTGTGAGGATTAGGGATCGACCGATATGGTTTTTTTTTTTTTTTGAGCCGATACCGGATATTCTGTACATTTACCATTTTGAAAAATAAACTATTTCTAAAGGTAAATGCACAAAATATACATGCCACATGTAGTGGATGAAGTGTGTTTAGACAGGGGAGCTGTGTGTGTTTGTGTATATATAGTGAATGCAGAGTGTGTGTGTAGTGTGTATGTATATAATGAATGCAGAGTGTGTGTTTGTGTAGTGTGCGTGTGTATATAATGCAGAGTGTGTGTTTGTGTAGTGTGCGTGTGTATATAATGCAGAGTGTGTGTTTGTGTAGTGTGCGTGTGTATATAATGCAGAGGGGGTACTGTTTTACACGTGACGCATTGCGGACTACAAATAGGTGTATTTTATTGCAGTAAAAGCTAACAGTATTATGACATTCACCGTTAAAATGTCATGAACTAAAAAAAAAAAAAAACTTCTTAATTTCTCCCATTTTTTAAAATATTTTATTCATATTAAATTAGGTTTCATAGCTAAATATTTGAAGTTAAATGAAAGCCCTATTTATCCTGAATAAAATTATATATAAGAAGTGTAGGTAAACTTATTTATAGGGGGCGTGGCCTGGACACAGACGAAAATGGCAGCTTAGGCAGGGAGCTCCGTCCCACGAGAATTAAAAGCACGCTGTCAGCATTGCCCGGCACGAGAATGGGGCGCACAAAACGCACGGATGGCTCCCAGACACCAAGGGGGAACCCCCTTAGCAGCCCGGCCAGGCCCATGGACGGGTACTTGACACCCGCAACGAGCACACTCCAGGAGGCCGCGGGCCCCAACATGGCCGACTCCCCGACCAGGCCGACGTCTGATGGCGGCGAAACCACGCTGGCGGACATCAGTGCCGATATCAGGGCACTCGCCGCAACAATGGTTACCAAGGAGGATCTCTGCGGCCTCTCTGAAACCCTGCGTGCTGTAATACACACAGAGTAGACTTGGAGGCGCAATACAGCAGACTCCAGCACTTAGAAACAACCACACAAGCCCACACAGCTCAAGCGGAGGCCTCTAACCTAGCTATCAACAGACAGGGGAACATGCTACTAGCCCTGAGACGCCACACAGAAGATTTGGATAACAGAGGCCGCAGATCTAACATAAGGGTGCGCGGCATACCGGAATCAGCGGGGGAAGAAGATGTGGAGGCCTTGCTGCGCACACTCTTCATAGGAATCTTGGGGGCTGAGACACCGGCCACAATGGAGTTTGACAGGGCGCACAGGGCCAACAGGCTGCGCACAATGGATGGGACACCACGAGATATATATGTTGTGTGCACCAGTATAAGCTGAAAAAAAAAAAAAAGATCATGGCCAAGGCAAGATCTAGGCCTACATGGAGATTCCAGGACGCAGATGTGGCTTTGTACCAAGACCTCTCACCCCTGACCCTAGAGGCGCGCAGAGCGCTGAGACCGATCACGACACAACTACAGGAGAGGAGGATCACTTATAAGTGGGGCTACCCCTTCGCTCTCCTAGCCAGGCACCAAAATGAATGGGTACCCCTACGCTGGCCGGAGGAGGCACCCAGATTCTTACAGCGCCTAGGCCTACCGCCCACGGAAATCACCAACTGGATCCTGAGCCAACCTGAACAGAGATCTGTCCCGCAGACGCCGAGACAACAACGCCGACGCAGAGAAGAGACACCACGGCGCCCTGTGGACCGCAGACAACTAGAGCCCGGTGACCCAGAGGAGTAAGATTTGCCAGGCTGGCGGCCCCCTGCTCCCTTCCCCCCGACCCACCCTGACTCGGAGCACACCTCCCGGTGGAGAGCTCGCAGGACGAACCCGGAGGCTCCCGACTACCAGAAGACGTCAGACACCAGATAAGTCTCCACCGCAAGCACATGTACATCTTGGCCCTAACACGCACACCTAACTCAATGGCTCACACGAGACACTTAGCAGAGACACACACTTGGCCCACAGGCACACAACCCTCACGAATTCCCCTTTTTTGGGAGGGGGAACACAATGGGGGGAAGGCATTTCTAAAAGAGGGCACCGAGACTTGCCAGCACCAGCACTATCTGACTATTCTGGAGACTGGGGACACTTCTGCTGTCATAGAGAGCATATCACCTGAAGGGGCAAGCGGAACGGGAAGACACCGGGCTTGACGGGGAAGGGGACGCCAGACGTTGCACAAATGAACTGTGCACTGGGAACCAATATATATGCCTCCTCGACCCAATTGGGCTATATGGGACTGGAGACTGGCCTGGAAAAGTCCAGATAGTAATAAGTAATATGGTGTAACTTACAATGCACAATGCTGTGGGGCCTAGGGGGTGGGGGGCAGGGGGCAACGGGATGAGTGTACTTCAAAAGGCTTCATACCATGTAACAGAAGGGGAGGGGCATAGCGGGGGCAGGGTGGATAGGAGGTGGGGTTCTCAGCGGGCTATTATAAAAAGTTCAGAGACATCCTTGCCCCACGCATCGCCAACGCCTGCAACCACCTCCGAGACGGAGGTAAATTCCACCGAGAATCCCTAGCAGCCATAATCACAGTGATTCCCAAACCAGGCAAGAACCTGGAAATCTGCGGCAATTACCGCCCCATCTCTCTATTGAACGTGGATGTGAAGATCCTCTCCAAGGTGCTAGCTACGCGACTGCAACAATTCCTACCGAGACTAGTCCACCCAGACCAGACGGGGTTCATCCCAGGAAGAGAGGCCAGGGATAGCACCCTGCGGGCGTTCACCATACAAAGCCTGGCACGTAAAGGAACCTCCAACTTCCTTATGCTCTCCACGGACGCAGAAAAAGCATTTGATCGGGTGCGGTGGAGCTTCATGACGGCAGCGCTGACGGCGATGGGTCTGGGGAACGGCATACTCACCTGGATAACGGCACTCTACACCGACCCAACTGCCAGATTACGGGTAAACGGAGCACTCACAGCCAACTTTGACATCAACAACGGCACCAGACAGGGATGCCCGCTGTCCCCCCTCCTCTTTGCCCTCACGTTAGAGCCGTTTCTAGACAAGATCAGACGGACACCAGAGATCCAGGGATTCAAACAGAAAGATCAGACACATAAGGTGGCCGCATACGTGGACGATATGCTCTTTTTCGTCACGGAACCTCAGAACACACTGCCGGCTCTCCTACGGGAATTCGAGCAATACGGGCGGATATCAGGGCTTAAGCTAAATCAAGCAAAATGCGAAATTCTGGCAATACGCACCGCGAGGAACACACAGGAGAGACTCCAACGCAAGTTCCCTTTCCACTGGTGTAAGAAGCAGATGCGCTACCTAAGTATTTGGCTCTGCCGTGACCCAGGCGAGACATACGATAGGAACTACACACCCCTCCTTCGCAACGTACTGACGGACCTGACGAGATGGTCATACGATCACATCTCTTGGCAAGGCCGAATAACGGTGGTCAAAATGAACATCCTCCCCCGCCTTCTCTACTGCTTTAGCACCATCCCCTGGCACCTACCACAGGTAGCTCAAAACAGCGGTAACGAAGTATATCTGGAAGGAGTGGAGGCCACGGCTTAAACACGACATATAATGCCTGCCAAAATCATGGGGAGGCCTGGCCCTACTGGACTTACGGAGGTACTTCCACGGGACAGTGCTCCAGAGGATTCGAGAATGGTACACGGCCCCCACCAACAAACTATGGACGAGACTGGACAGGGAAAGCACAAACAGAGCACTCCACACATACATCTGGCACCGCCCGACAGGAGCTGCACAAGCTCTGGGTACGGAATCCCCAGTGATGCAGACGCTGAAAACCTGGACCACCCTACGAAGGAACACACACTTCTCACCACAGCCAAGCCCCCTGATCCCCCTAACATATAACAAAACCATAGGAGGGGGACTGCACACGAACGCGTGGCCAATACACAAAGAAGAGGACTATGTACCCCTGAGCTTGGCCCTGACAAACGCCAGCCTGCGCAGCCTTCAAGACTGGGCGGACACAGATCGCCTGACGATAATGCACCGATTTCACTACGCACAGCTGAGGCACTTCTACCACAATCTGCCCAATAGGGGAGCAGTACACAGAGAATGGACCTGGTTTGAACACTTCTGCGAGAGCTCTCCAGAGGCAGATGGCAGAGTATCGGGCATATATCAACAACTGCTCACAGGGGAACTCTCCAGAAACAACGCCTTCCAGAGGCAGTGGGAGGAATTGACAGACAGAAACTTCACAGATGCCCAATGGGCACAAATTCTCATATTACAACACAAAAGCTCAATAAGCACCAGGTACCAAGAGGTGAACTACAAGCTGATCTCCCAGTGGTACAGAACACCAGCAAAACTGCACTGGATTTTCCCGGGGGTCCCGGATACTTGTTGGAGATGTGAAACACAGCCAGGCACTTTACGCCACATTTGGTGGGACTGCCCTGGGATCAAGCCATTCTGGGAAGAGATAAACCGGGAAAATCACTACAATTCTGGTTGACCCACCAGACTTTAGCATAGCGGCCGCGCTCCTACACTTCTTTACAGGACAGCTGGCACAATACAAACGCTCAATCCTACGACACCTGCTTAATGCAGCCAAAGCACTGATCCCAGCGAGATGGAAGCAAACCCAGCCACCTACCAAAATGGAATGGCTACAGAGAATAGAAGAGATTCACACAGCTGAGGCGAGATACGCTGAGATACTCGGGAGGAGAGACAAACACCTTGAAATGTGGACTCCATGGTACCTATACACATCACAAACGAGGACAGGGGATGGGACACCACGGGGATCCTAGCCAGCTAGAACACGCACATTTCAACACAACTTCCCTCCCCCCCAACCTCCTCCCAGATCTGCCCTGACCGGCTAACTCGGGAGTCAGGATAGACCCATGCCACAACATAGCTCTGCCACATACCTTTCAGCTCCCCCCTCCCCTCACCCACCTCCACCCAACCCTATCTCTCCCCCCCATTTTTTCCCGGGCGAGGCCGGGGACCGCCTGGCGCAACATGGCCACAAAAATATGGGACGTGGGACCCGCGAGACATCGCTTGATAAAGTTGGGGGGATCCCACGACAAGGGAAACTCCTACAATAAACAGCAAACATAAGACAACACAAGACGACTGACACAACCGAACATCGAGACACCATATCACCCCCACCCAAAGGGGGAAAACACTCCAGACACACCACAGATACCAAAAGTGGATAGCGACTGGAGAGCGACAACAAATACCACCCACAAGGAAGCAAAACGACAGAGGTGACTAAACACACCACTGAGCACCCCCCCTCTTTATAACGCCTCATAAATGAGGAAGGGATGCGGACTCAGAACGAGAGGGTAGATGACCCAGGAGAGAACCCACAACATACCTAGGCACTACAGAAGTTAGGGAAAGGGCAGACAGAAGAGGCAGTACCAGACCTGGTGCAAGACAACAGGACCCGGTCCCGCAAAACAAACCCCTATCTCACTCCCCACTTAGAGGACGTGACCTAGGATCTACCGCACTATTAACCATTTGGTTGGGGAACAAATATAGAACCTATCTGTCCTTACTGTTATGGGCCAGCAACCCATCGCCTACAGTAACGCTATATAAAGATCCACCTAATACTTGTGGTGCTCATGTAAGATGCAATTGGAGACCTGCGAGTCTCACTGACAACATTCGCACTGTTTTCTGTTATTATCTGAACTGCTAATAAAAGCTATATTTACAAAAAAAAAAAATTATTATTTATAAAATATTTTACCAGGAAAGATACATTGAGATTTCTCTCGTTTTTAAGTATGTGCTGGGTGAATATAAAAGAGGTGAATTACGATTGAACAGACTTATAGACAAATTCAAAGTTTTTTTTATTTTGATCAAAACTTGCACATTTGGCTCAGTCCCTAAGGGGTTATCTACATCTGCATTTTCAAAAATAGTTATATACCTGCACAGCAACATAAGTCATAGCTTGTCTATCAGTACATAACATTGTGTTTCCTCTCACAACTTAGAGACCATAGCTGGTTTGTTCATGAAAGAGGAGGGAGGGAAAAAATAAGACATGTATGAAGCTCCTCTGCAAGCCAACAAACCAGCATGAACTTGCCAACTAGTATAACTTCTCTTATTTCCTGAAATAACCAACTCACCAGTAATGATTGACATTCTGGAAATCCTCACTAAGAAGCTATCTAGTGAAGGTGCACAGTGTTATGTAGATTTTGCCACCTATTTTATTTTATTCTATAAAAAGACAAGAGGAATTACTTTTTAATATATAAATGGAAGATACATAGGCAAAAAAAATCCTGACATCATCAATACGTTTACTAGACTTAAAAGCTCAGATTTGCAGCATTTAGGTTATTATTTATAGTCTACTCTTAAACTATATCTATTAAAAAAAAAATTTAAAAAACGATAAGGATGGAAGGGCATTGAAATGAGAGTGACAGCTACTATATGTGACAGATACAGGAACATTGTGATATATACACACACACAGATAACATTGCTTGTAACTAGTTAATCACATTGAAGTGAAAACCAGGATTGTCAAATTTAGGGAATAACTGCAGCCACTAGAAACAATTGAGGCCACAATACAAAAAAATAAAAAAATTTAACAAAAAGTTAACCTCTGACAGTTAAAGTTGCAAAACTGTAATTTTATTGTGAGATGTAAGTAAGATGAAATTTTGTGGTGACAATCAGTGGGAGTATGTTGTAGTAGGCATACAGCCAAAGGTACAGGTAATATGGTTGGGGGCTGACTGAATGATGAGCGGTAAAAAGTGAGATAGACGCACATGGAGACTGCTTGGGCTGGAAGGAGCACTGTGACAGGCAGGCAGCATGGGCTGGAGGGCATTATGGCAGACAGTCTGCGCTTGGAGAGGCAGGTGTGTTCAATGTGGAGAGAGAGCGATCTGTGGAGAGGTCAATGTGGGGACGGGGGGGGCACACATGCCCAGTCTGTGGAGGGGGCACACATGCCCAGTCTGTGGAGGGGGCACACATGCCCAGTCTGTGGAGGGGGCACACATGCCCAGTCTGTGGAGGGGTCAATGTGGGGACGGGAGGGGGCACACAGGCCCAGTCTGTGGAGGGGTCAATGTGGGGACGGAGGGGGGCACACACAGGCCCAGTCTGTGGAGGGGTCAATGTGGGGACGGAGGGGGGCACACACAGGCCCAGTCTGTGGAGGGGTCAATGTGGGGACGGAGGGGGGCACACACAGGCCCAGTCTGTGGAGGGGTCAATGTGGGGACGGAGGGGGGCACACACAGGCCCAGTCTGTGGAGGGGTCAATGTGGGGACGGGGGCACACATGCCCAGTCTGGGGAGGGGTCAATGTGGGGACAGGGGGGGCACACAGGCTCAGTCTGTGGAGGAGTCAATGTGGGGACGGGGAGGCACACATGCCCAGTCTGGGGTGGGGACAGGGGGGGCACACATGCCCAGTCTGGGGTGGGGACAGGGGGGGCACACAGGCTCAGTCTGTGAGGAGTCAATGTGGGGACGGGGAGGCACACATGCCCAGTCTGGGGTGGGGACAGGGGGGGCACACATGCCCCGTCTGGGGAGGGGTCAATGTGGGGACGGGGGGAGGCACACTTGCCCCGTCTGGGCTGGTGGGCGTTGGGGGACAGGGCAGATAGCCTGGGCTGAGGGGGTGTTAGGGATGGATAGACAGTGCGGAGGCACATGGGACAGGCAGATTCCTAAAGTTCAGGATGGCAGACAGTCTGGGCTGAGAACTGTAAGGAACAGGCAGACAGTTTTGGATGGGGAGAGACAGCCAGTCTGGGACAGACAGGCAGTAACCAGCACGAAGACAGCATTGTAACACGAGATCTGACGGTCTGGTCACAGGCTGGGACAGTGTGAGGGACCGTGCTGGCTGCCAGTGCTGGGTGTCAGTGTGAGGGGCCGTGCTGGCTGCCAGTGCTGGGTGTCAGTGTGAGGGGCCGTGCTGGCTGCCAGTGCTGGGTGTCAGTGTGAGGGGCCGTGCTGGCTGCCAGTGCTGGGTGTCAGTGTGAGGGGCCGTGCTGGCTGCCAGTGCTGGGTGTCAGTGTGAGGGGCCGTGCTGGCTGCCAGTGAGTGGGTGTCAGTGTGAGTGCTGGGTGTCAGTGTGAGGGGCCGTGCTGGCTGCCAGTGATGGGTGTCAGTAGCAGGCTGTTTGACTCGGGCTCTCTACCTGTAGCACTATCGCTTACTCGGGTGGGTTACTCAGTGTGTCCCGCCTCCCGACCTCGTGTGATTGGCTGGCATTCCTGTCAGTCAGCCAGGTGCCGCTCGCTATTGGCCATCCGATTACTCAGTCTTCCTTTCCTTGGAAGGGGGCGGCGCCCCTAACTTGGGCCCTTGCTCTCCCTCTGGGGTATTCAGGGTGTGGTGGGGTGGCACGGGCGGGAGTGTCTGAGAGTACCGTGAGTGAGGTGTCTGCGCTGTCTAGTACCTTTTACCGGCTTCCCGTCCCCGCCGTCTCCTTCCCGTGCCGCTCGCCTCAGCCAGCAACCGTCAGCAGCGCGCGGGCGCCCCGAGAGTCCGGTCTCGCGAGAACAACCGGGGCGGGGCACGCGCCTGTCTCGTGACGTACGAAACTGCCAGCTGACTGTCATCGGATTGGGGCGGGGCCGCGAGGAGGAGGCGGACAGCGATGTGAGGGGCGGGGCTAAGTTCTGTGAGGGTATGACGGACAGGTAACGGGAGCTGCAACGGTATAAATAAGTCCAGAGCGACCCCTGTAGGTGAAGGCGGGAAAAACCATGTTTAGTGGAGATAGGTGGAGGTAAAGGACCACTATAGTGCCAGGAAAACAAACACGCTTCCTTGACACCATATAATCCTTGGGGTCCCCCCCTCAGGGCTCCCCTCCTGCTGGGGTGAGGGGGTTAAAACTCCTTTCAGCCACTTACCTTTATCCAGGGATCCTTTGGCGCTGGTGACCTCTCCTCCCCCGCCGACGTCAGCTCCCGAGTGGAGCCGAATGTGCATGCGCAGCAAGAGCCGCGCGCGCATTAAAAACACCCATAGGAAAGCATTTCTCAATGCTTTATTATGGACGTTCTGTGCGCTCAATAAGAAGAGAGCCACCAGCGGCTGTATTTTCTTACAAGACACGGAGGCTCGTATTTGCATATCCCTTCCTTTACTGTCCACAACAGCAGCAAAGAACATTAACAGAATGAAAAAAGCAAAAGGTAGTGCATGCGTCATACATAGGCCATGCCCCCAGTGTCCAGTATAATAGCCTGGTCCGCCCTCCAAATTCCCTCTTTCTTTGCTGCTCCACGTCAGATAAGTACCTTTTATTACACTGTAGCAATTTCCACTGTTTTACAATCTCTTAACTTTATTCACTTTTCTCCTTATTTACTTTGTTAGTTTGCTAGTTTCCCTATTTATCTCCCAGATTCCCAGACCCTTTGGGGTGCCCTCTTTATTACCTATGGGCAACCCGTTCACTCTAGGTGGAAACCCTTTCACCCCCTCCGTTCCCTCTCTCCCCTCCTCTGAAATTTTTTTTAATATGCTTCCCATAGCTAACTTTTAGTTAGCCAGTGGGCTGTGCAAATCCCCCATTTAAAACTGCAATTGTATGGTCTGATATGTAAGGATGGAATAAATCATTAATGCATAAAAGAAATCCTTTAATCTAATTTCCTTTATTTCGTGGAAGTGTGAGCAACTTCCAGTCTAATGTTAGTTGAAAAGAAATCGTGCCTAAAAATATCCAGCTTACTGGTAGCTGAATTCCCATGCGTCTGTTCTGTCTCGGAGAAAAGGCAGTATTTCCAAAACATGGAAACAACTGTAACAAACAGTGCTCCTGCCAATATCATGGCAACAACAGCACTTGGCTGAGACGTACGCAGCTGTTCATACCATAGTATAGGAGCTTCTTATTACTGTTCTGATACTGTCTACCATATCATATGCACTGCAGAATGTACTCTCGTCTATATTGCAGTGACCAAGCAAACAGCATAGAATAATAGTTTAGACACCTTTGTCTATACTCAGGAAGGAAAAAACACAGAAAAAAACTTTATTCCCATTTTTTTACAGTGAACTCCATATTCCCATTTTCTTTTAGTGAATTCCATGTGGAATGTGTCTGCCCTCTGCAGGCAGTGTTCTAGAAAGACATCTTGTCAGGGTTATTCAGTAAACTGAAATTGTGAAGAATGGTGAAAAGAATTTTACATTTTATACCAAAATAGCAGTGTGGAAAACATCTTCCAGTTTTGCAATTTACACCTACAATTTGCAATTCACTTGGTAAATCTAAATGTCTGTAATCAGTTTGCTGAATAGTTTTGTATGTGTTGTCTACAAAATTCCTCTTTCGTATTTATAGCGGCACTGCCACCCACCCCCTAAAAAAATAAGTATTTTATAGGGGAATTTTTTCCTTGTTTGTTGCAAGATTGGAAGCGCTTCAAAATTATTATTTTTTGCCTTCTTTTGGATAAACAGCTAAAACAAACGTGAGAAAGGCTGAACTTGATGGACGCATGTTTCTTTTCAGCCTATGTAACTATGAATTAGGCAAAGTCCCCAGACGAATGGCGTACCTACCATGGTCGCCCTCACTGAAGGGGGCCGGCCCGGCCACAGCCACTACCCCTGCAACTGTGGGTCACCTAGATGCCGCCCCCTCCGTGTTCCCCCTGTCATAGGGGGGCCCAAGTAGTGGCCCGCTAGCCACCTAATGGACCCTCCGGCGGGCAGCAGAGTTCCTGTCAGGCGCAGCGAGGGAGCTCTAATCTCTCTGCTCTGCTTTCTCTCGTGCCGTTTGCTGATCCCGGAAGCCGGAATATGACGTCATATTCCAGCTCCCGGCATCAGTAGACAGCCCGCGCGGGAGCAGAGCAGAGAGATCACAGCTCCCTCGCCACGTCTGACAGGAACTCTGCCGACCGCCGCACTGAAGCCCCACTGGAACCCAGGGACAGATCCACTACAGGTAGGTAGCCTGAGTGGACATTTAATATTAATAATTTGTGTATGTGTGTGTGTCTGTGAGTGTATGTGTGCCTGAGTGTGTGTGTGTGTGTGTATATGTCTGAGTGTATGTTTGTGTGTCTCTACATGTGTCTGTATGTATGGGTCTCTGTGTGTATGTGTCTGCATGTGTGGGGGGGAGGGGGGATGGCAGGGACGTGTGAGGCAGGAGGTAGATGTATGGGGGGGCCCCAGAGCAATTTTCACACCGGGGCCCGGGGTTTCTAGTTACACCTCTGCCCCAGACAGTGACAATGTTGCTTTAAAGTGCCTCTGTCACCTTCTAGGGTTTATGTATATTTTGTAAAGACCTCTTTGGGTAAGGGGCTAGTTAAAGAGTGTTGGTTGGGGAGTGCAGAGGTATGGTAGGTTTTACTTACATGAACCTGTCACTTGCAGCTGCCGCCATCTAGATCCGGTGCATCCTCTACAGCTCCTGGTGCTTCATCTGTCAGGACTCATCAGGGCTGCACTCTTGATGCATAAGAGTCAAACACCGATGTCTCTAGAGGATCCTACGAGACTGTGGAAAGGCAAAGCCTACTTCCTCTCAGTCATCACTACTAACAGCTGGGGGCTTGCCAGAGCTTGGCAGTGGTAGCCACACCTTTTGTCACGTTTGTCAAGCTTAGAATAAAAATACATAAAACAAAGTAGTCCGTCTTTGTCTTATGATATCTTTTGACTGCATTAGACTTTCAGTGAGATTCCAGCTCGGTCTTTATAAAATGTTCTATTTATGTAATGCTCATTTTTTGTATGCGTGATAGAGTTGTGTTAAAATTGTGAGTAGACTTTTCAGAAGTCCCCCATTCATTATGGAGACATCGTTTAAAAGCAAGGCCGACCTTTGGGTGCTGATGATCTAGATGGATTCCAGGGTCTTATAATTCAAGCATATTTTTTTATTATCATTTATATACCACCATTATATTCCTTAGCACTTTACAATTATAGAAAGGGGATATTGGAGGTAAAGATGGCCCTGCTCAAATTAATTGCTAGTGACTCTTCAGTATTTCAGAAGCAGTTTGAGGCACATTGCAACTGGCCAAAATATCTACTGCAACAAGGACACCCAACATAATAATATTTAAATAAATGCATATTTATTGTAAACACATAAAAAGTAAATGGGATTATCCAGCCCTTTGTATTTTCCTTTAAAGATAGCAAATATGTGGGACAGGTAAAATCAAAAGAGAATGTAAATAAAAATCTACATACCTGTATTCAGTTTTACCCTTTGGTTTAGCTTTAATATTTTGAGTTAGACAATTAACAAGTTCATTTTGTTCTTTCAAGAAAATAAATGCCCATTCTTGTCCACTAATATATGTTAAAGGGAATTTCCCTCATCAGTAGAACTATCTCCATGAAGTTACTTTGACGACTGAAGTCTCTGGGCACCATCTTAACATCCTGTCACGGCTCTCAGCATTTCTAACCACGTGGCTGCACTCAAACAGAGCAGCCACGCCGTCAGAAATACTTTAAAGTTACCTTGGGCTCAGCGGGCAGCTGTCCGGTCTCCCTCCTTCCCGGTCCCCAGCGGGTGTGACATTCCTAGGAGCGCCGGCTGCTGCGGACCAGGCTGTTATAGGAAACCTACGTTTGCCCACGTCAAAGATGGTGCCGACGTGCGGAAGTCAGAAACAACCAATTATTTAAACTCAAAATAGCATCAGTGAACTGTCGTGGTTTCCCTTAGATAGTTATCCGAGAGTGTGTTACTAATCGTGTATTTCAGGTATTTGACTTTGGCTTCTTTTTGACTTCCCTGACTTCTGGTATCCTTGACTATTGGCTTTTCCTTATCGCTTTGTCTCATTTTGACTATTGTCGGGTACGTTAAGTCTGGCCATTCTAAGGTCCGGTTAGACGTCACCTTTAGTCCTAGGTGTGATACAATTCTGCGTGCTGGATCATTTGTAATCCTGACATTACGACATGGCCATAGATCCTGCAGAATTGTGTCAGCACATAGCAGCTTGCAAAAGAAAGCTAGAGGAGAATGATCACCATATGGATCAGTTTGCCCAGGCCTTCAGTACGTGTCTTATGCGGACAGCTCATTTACAGCCTGAGGTTCCTCCTATTATCTCACCTCTGCCTAATATACCTCCACCTATAGTATATAAGGCACCTACTATCTCCCTATCTCCTCCCTCGCATTTTGATGGTAATATTCAAGAATGCCGGGGGTTTCTTAATCAAATTGAGTACCACTTTGAGGCCTCACCGGGATCTTTTCCCACAGATAGAGCTAAGATTGGGTACTTGATGAACCAGCTTAAAGGTAAAGCCTTAACTTGGGCCAATCCATTATGGGAGAGCAATAGGAGTATTTCTTATAATTACCAGGAATTTCTTGCGGAATTTAAATTAACATTTGAACCATTGGGCAGGGAGGATGATGCTTCCACTGCCCTAATGCGTATCAAACAAGGGAACCAGTCTATCTCGGATTATGCCATAGAATTTCGCACCTTGGCTTCTGAGGTAGACTGGACTAATAGCGGATTTATCTCTGCATTTAAAGAAGGATTATCCAAGGCAATTCTTGATGAAATTGCTGCCAAAGATCTACCTAAGAGGTTAAATGAATTCATCACATATGTGATGCAGATTGATAACAGTTAGGACCAGGGAAATTACTAGAAATAGAACAAGACATATGGCTATGTCACTGGCACCTCGTTTCTCCAAATCAATTGTCCCTGACCTCTATGTGCAGATTGAACCCGAACCTATGCAGTCAGGGGTTAGTAGACTGTCAGAGGCAGAGAAACAGTATAGGAGTTTATACTGTGGTAAAAAAGGACATATGAGAAATGCTTGTCCCATACGCCCGGAAAAATTCTGCAACTAAGAACCTTAAGGGGACAGGTCTTAGGTGTAATGGATACGTCCTCTGGTAACACCCAAAATTGGTTTCTCCTTGACATCACTGCCCTTTGCAACAAGAAAAGCTTTTCATGCAAAGCCCTGATGGACCCTGATGGTGCGGCAGGAAACTTTATTGACATGCATTTTGTTAAAGAACACTTCACACCTATCAAGGAGAGAACATCACCTCTGGCCGTTGAGGCTATTGACGGGAGACCTCTCTCTCAACCTAATGTGTGCACGCTCCTAAAGTAATTCACACCAGACACAAGTTTCGGGTTAATGAAAAACTTGAGGAATGTTTATTCTGAGGGGACGGCATGTCCCTTATAAAGCAAAATTACATCCTATGCATTGTCAGAGATAACATGGAATAATACATCAATAATTGGTTAGGTGTTAAGTGGTTCATTTAGTGCTCTTCCTACCAGGTGTGATGTCACTGGTATCTTGGAGGTCTCCCCCAGATTCCAGCGCCATCTTGTTAATGAGGGTGTTAGTCGATGTCAAAGGGAAACTCCCTAGCGGCCATTTTAGGTAAATCACATAGAAAGTTGAATAATGCTGATTGTAGTTATACTGAGTAAATAGGCATTTTACCAACATGGATTGGGTTAATATTTTTGTCCACAACAGTCCCCCCTTAAAATTACTATTTACGAAAGAGCGAGACAACTACTAACTAACCCTAATGATGTCCCTAACTGGCTGCAGCTCATCTGTCTGAACAGGCCTCGAACGCTTCACTGCGCAGGTATCCCACAGCGGCTAACCCACTACATCTCCTGCGTCAGACTCCTGCCCGTAGAGACAGATGCTGTACCTATACTATCCCTATATGGAAGTAGTTGTGTGTTTGAAGTAGTGGGACTGAAGAGGTGTGTGTGGGGTGTCACAGTCCATATCGTCGATATCCTGATGTAGGAATGTAGGTGTAGTGTGATCAATAGTCTGACCTACAGTCTTCTGTAAATATTTCTGTACACAGGGCTTCACACAGCAAATCAGGAAGAGAAAGAGAATTACCACAGTAAGAACTGCCATACCTACTTGAAAGAGAGTTTTCTGCCATCCATTCATCCATCCAAACCATCTGTCCCATAAACTGGGGACTCCCGAATTCCTCTTTAATTCGTCAGAAAGACTTTCTAATTTCTCTATAGCCATGGTTACCTTACCATTAGGGCCTGTATTGTCTGGGATGAAGGTACAGCATGTCATAGTATTGGGGAGTATTTTACACATGCGCCCCTTTTCTGATAGGATCATGTCTAAGGCCATTCGATTCTGAAATGTCATTTGGGAGGTAGTCTGTAATTGTTCTGCTAAGCCCTGAAGGGAATCTCTAGTATAATTGACAAATCGTTGCTGTTTATAGTAGATATAATTGATCCAGTTAACATTCTTGTTAGCAGTGATGAGTGGGATCAAGGATTCAAATCCTGCCGCCACCTCATCTCTGGCCTTGAACTCATTTGGTACCCCCCCCCTTGGTACTCCAATGGCATCGATATATATGTGTGGGTCGAAACTACCTCAAATGGAAGTTTCTCTTTTTACTCTAAGATACGTGTTTGGTGAATGTCACCACATAGCCAGTAAATGTCTCCCACGGACTTAACTTGATTTACTAATAGGGCAGTGGGAGGTTCTCGATACATGGCACAGTAGCCAGAAGGGAATTTAAGTACAAATTTACCTGTGGCTCCATGTATTGTGTAGCAAATGTAGTTACCTGGGTACACGGTGGCCTGGTATTCCCTTGGGTTATTGGGTAAACCTTTTTCCATGATTCACACACTGATGAATTCACTGCTGACTCCGCATAGAGGCTTAAGAAACACATCTCAACTGGAATAAGATTTAGAGGCACTGTACTCAGATGGGGTCTGGCCCCACCACAAATATAACAGTTAGTTTTGTTGTGTGAACTAGCATTATACCTCATCCATTCAAGCCATAGATTAGTATCTGAAAACCCGGTCTCCACAGCCATAGTGTCTTCAAATGTAGGATTGGCAATGGCCACCATGTCTTTAAGGGTTTTAATGTGTGGTTTTAGAGGGTTAATGGTCATGTGTGTGGAGTCTACCCAGTCAGGTGACATAAGCATGTCTTGTAAATAGAAGGTCCCCAACTTGTTATGTGAGCCACCCCCTTTCCAAAACATTCCCATTACGTACTCCCCAGCGTCTCCTGGGGTGGGATGTTCTATGTTTAAGGTGAGCTTCATTGGGGTAGACCCTGTTGGCTTGCATAAGGTCATTCTGTATAACAAGGGATTCCCATATCTGTCAACCCTATCTAAAGCACTTTGTGGTCTGTAGCCCCATGGTCGGCCCGTATTCCAACCCGCTGCTTTCCAGGTACTACAGTGATGTCCCCAATGGTCACCTGTCACACAAATATATGGATCCTTTTTGTTTGGTATGTCTTTGTATATTGCTGAGTGTTGTGATTGTGGAAAAGTACAAGAGACAATATCACAGTAATCAAAGGTGAAAGTGGCTACGTGTGTGTTTGAAGAATTATACCAAAATGTGTAAACATGATTGTCTTTGGTAATAGCAACTTGTTGGGCCTTTGATAGGCCTAGCAGCAGAAATAGGCACAGGAAGCTCATGATTTGGCGGAATCTGCTTCCTCTGGATCAGGAACTTTCTTGCAGTGAGAGGCGTGTATCCAGGTATTCTTCCCGGCCAACTTTACAGAGGTAGATGTAGTCAGTAGGACTTGGAATGGACCATCAAACCTTGGCTCAAGAGTGTGTTTTCTTAGGAACTTCTTGACCATGACCCAGTCACCAGGAAGTAGCTTATGTGTGCCTGTATTTGACCCTGGATCTGGAATAGAAGAAAACACCTGTGCATGGATTTTGGTCAAGGCATGAGAGAGTGCAGTTATATAATCTACCATTGCATCTGACTGAATTTGTAGTTGCTGAGAAAAGTATAAGCCTAACCTAGGTGCTGTTCCAAATAAGATTTCATAGGAGGATAGGCTAAACCTTCCTCTTGGGGTGTACCTTACACTAAACTCTCCGGCCAGGGTAGGTTAGTTTCTTGGGACATTTTAAGCATTCTGGCTTTCAGAGTGCCATTCATGTGTTCTACCTTACCACTACTCTGTGGGTGATAGGGTGTGTGGAATGCAAGGGTCACCCCCAGTGCTGTCCAGATCTCCTTGGTTAGCAACACGGTGAAGGATGTCTCCTGGTCACTTTCAATAACTTCAGGAACTCCTTATCTGCAGATGATTTCGGTAAGTAGACGCTTCGCTGTGGTCTTTGCAGTGAGATTAGCGACCGGAAAAGCTTCTGGCCATCCTGAAAACATAGCCACTATGACCAGTGCGTATTCATACCGGCCACTCTTTGGCATTTGGATATGATCAATTTGGATCCTCTGGAAAGGGTACTTTGGTTTGGCCAAATGGTTTGGTGCAGCTTTGATTATTTTCCCTGGATTACATCTGGCGCAGATGGTGCAGGATCTGCAGTAATTTTGTGTCAAAGTGGTGATCCCGGGTGCTTCAAAATATTTATCAATCAAAGAGTTCATGAGGTGCTTAGATAAATGAACTGGTCCATGGGCCCACTGAACAACAGCTGAATACATATTCTTGGGTAGACAGAATTTGAGGTTGATTGTGTATACTTCATTCTGGAGGGTTGCTCCTTTGTCTTTCCAGCTTTGTTTTTCTTGTGGGGTGGCGGTGGCGGCCTGTTGTTCTCTTAGGAGCTTGAGATCAGTGGGTAGGGTTTGCATAGTGTAAATAGGAGTCTTCTCGACGGACACTCTTCTGTCCACTTCCCGACACTGACGTGCTGCATCCTTAGCAGCCTGGTCGGCTAAATGGTTGCCATGTGCTTCTTCTGAATTCAGTCTCCCGTGAGCCTTTACCTTCAATATGGCCACCTCTTCAGGAAGTAGTAAGGCATCCATCAATTCTTTGATAGCTGCGTCATGTTTCACAGGAGTACCTGTTGCTGTAAGGAACCCCCTGGTTTTCCAGATTAAGCCAAAGTCATGTGCCACGCCCAGGGCATACCTTGAGTCTGTATAAATATTAATACGTTTCCCTTGAGACATCTTGCATGCCACCGTAAGGGCTATTAGTTCGGCTTCTTGTGCTGACTTAGATGATGGGAGTGAAGATGCTTGGAGTATTTGGTCCTCTGTGGTGACTGCATATCCGGTATGATATTGTCCCTGCACATCTGCGAATCTAGAACCATCCACAAACAGAGTGTAGTCAGGGTCAGGTAGAGCAGCCTCGTGCACTGTTGGGAGATGGGTTGTTTCCATTTTCATCTGTTCAGAGCAATCATGAGGGGCATCCGGGTCCTGTTCTGTAGGAGGGATGTCCTCACATATCTCTGTGTGATATCGAGGGTAACCGACAGTTTTGCAATTTATGGTCCTTTTAGTGACCCCCGTCAAAGTGAGCTGTTCTTAAGTTACATTTCCATGTCTTGGCCATTGGGCCGAGGTCTTTCCATGAGAGATCTGGAGACGTGGTGAAAGAGATATGAGGAACAGCCACCTCCCAGTGGTGATATAAATGTGATACCTCCATAGGCAGGTAGACTAAGATAACAATGTTTCCTTTGGAGTCACAGAACAGGTCTGTCAGTGTGATGCGTATTTCCACTAGGCTGAATAATTCTTCTTCATAATATGGGTAAGGCCCTGGGGTGTTCCTGAACCACAGGGTGCAATGTAAGTAGCTCTTTGGCTGTTCATCATGTGGAACTGTGGGCTTTTCTACTTGAAGTTCCATGTGAATGTCAGGATTTATGTCCAGGCTGTACCAGTATTGCGGCACCCCCCCCTTGGGAAGTGGCAGAAGAGTGGCCGGATTCAAGGAGTAACATCTTTGTAAAGTAACATTATCAGGCAAGAGGAGGGAGATTTGAAGGTGGAGATGTCTCTGAGATGAGAGATGCTTTGGCTGGACTTGATTCAGGATTGCAGCGATATCATGGGGAGCAAGAACTGTCAGTTCATGTCCGAGAACAAAGTCATTATTTTTGTCCAGCAGGGCACTGGCAGCAAAAACAGCACGCAAACAGGAAGGACCACCTCCGGCCACGGGGTCTAGCATGCAGGAAAAGTACCCAATAGGGCGCTGACGGGAACCGTGAGATTGAGTAAGGACTCCTGAAGCATGGCCCATTTTCTCTGAGACGAAAAGTTTGAACGGTAGCTGGTAGTTAGGAAGGCCCAAAGCAGGGGCGGAGGAGATGGCTCTTTGAAGGGCATGGTAACAGGTGCGGGCTGTAGAGGACAATGAAAATGGTTCAGTCTTCAAAGCATCGTAGAGAGGTTGCATGAGTTGAGAAGCCTCAGGGATCCAAGACCTGCAGTATGTGATGAGGCCCAAGAAGGCATGAAGAGCCTGATGGTTAGACGGAAGTGAGAGATTCATAATGGCAAGTACCCTGTTCCTTGTTGGTGACGGGTGCCATGGAAAAGGCAATGTCCCAAGAAGACCACAGAGGGCCGGCACCACTGGAGTTTCGTCTTGGAGGCTTTACAACCTTCTTCAGTGAGGAAACAAAGGAGATCTTCGGAATTCTGTTCAGCAGTTGGAAAATCATCCGCACAGAGAAGTAAATCATCGATATACTGGAGCAGGACCACGTCTGGGTGGGACTTCTGCCAGGGTTCTAGGACAGCTGACATAGCTTTGGCAAATTGGGTTGGGGAATTTTGTGCGTCTTGAGGCATGACAGTCCAAGTATACTGTTGACAATCATGTGTGAAAGCATGCAGATATTGACAAGAGGGATCCAAGGGCATGCTGAAAAAGGCATTTGCAAGATCAACCACCATGAAGAATTTAGCTGTTGAAGGGACCTGTGACAACAGTGTATGTGGATTAGGGACAACAGCAGTATCGCGGTTTGTGACTGCATTAACAGCGCGGAGGTCTTGGACCATACGGTATTGGTCTGGTTGACCCTTTTCAGTTTTCTTTTTTACTGGAAAGAGAGGGGTGTTACACTGTGATACACACTTGACCAGTGCACCTTTTGCCAACAGACTATCAACTTGTTTGGAGATGGCGAGAGCTTGTGGAGGTTTCACACCTTTGGAGTTATTTGTAGAGAATTTAAATCCCTACCAGTACCCGGACACTAAGGACATGCAGAACACTGAATAAAGTGGTGTTACCTTCAGTATGTTGAAAGTGGCCGGACACTCGCCGATTAAACTCTTCCATGACAAAATCTTACCATTGGACCATACTGAATACAGCAAAGTGTTGCTCCAGCATGTCACTGAGCTAAATAATTACAACAGAAATCTTAAAGGAACACTATAGTCACCCAGACCACTTCGGCTCAATGAAGTGGTCTGGGTGCCAGGTCCCTCAGGTTTTAACCCTTCACATGTAAACAGAGAAGTTTCAGAGAAACTGCTATTTTTACATAGCAGGGTTAATCCAACCTCTAGTGGCTGTCTTCCTGACAGCCACTAGAGGCGCATCTGCGATGCTGGATGAGAAATTTGCATCCAGCGTGCAGAACGTCCATAGGAAAGCATTGAGAAATGGTTTCCTATGCACTGTTTGAATGCGCGCGCGCAGCTCTTCCGCGCATGTGCATTCCGCTCCACTCAGGTGCTGATGTCGGAGAGGGAGGAGAGGTGCCCGGCGCTGGACTAAGGTAAGTGGCTGAAGGGGTTTTAACCCCTTAAGCCCAGCGGGAGGTGGACCCTGAGGGCGAAGGTCCTTCAAGGATGCTATAGTGTTAGGAAAACGAGTTTGTTTTCCTGACACTATAGTGATCCTTTAAGGTTCCAAGGGGGTCTCTTACGATTGGTTTGGTTCTGCCCGTCGTGATTACACACCTTAAGAGTGCAATTAGTGAATCAAACCTGCACAGTGAGAATGGAATTCTACTTCCTCTCTCAATATGTCTCTGCTACTAACACACCATAGTCACATTCTCAGTGGACGGGGACAGCACACTGTTACGGACTTGTTAAGAGTCCCTCAAAATGGAGTCAGAAGTCATTGAAACACGACTTGGACAAGAAGTTTGCTCTCATCACCTGGACACTGAAAGGGGCAGTAAATGCTATGAATGGGTTTTAGGTTGCCAGGTCATGTGACTGATTATGAACACACCTTTCAATGTGCATAGAATTAATGGGATACATATTTTGTCACACATTAACAGCAATTAATCTGAGGGTTTACATTTTCTCGTTCTAATATAACAGGGCAATGTATTTAAAAAAAAAAAAAAAAAAGCATTTAACTAAATAGCAGCTTACTGAATTCCATTGGTGCAAACACTGCCTTTCGAAATATACACACTGTACGTATTCATGGAATACTTGTAGGACCTGTGTGCACACTCACTATCATACCCCACACTTGCTTTCCATCCAACCTGAGGAATATATAATTTTGATGTCTCTATGGCTTAATACAGTTGAGTTCACTATACATGGTTTTACCCCCACTCTCTGTCTTATACTGTAAAAATAATTTGTATTTGTTCATATTAATCAGTGTTTGTGATCACTGCAAATGTTATTGTTAATTTGTTTTAATAACCGAGTCTAAATTACAAATTTAAAAGTGGAATGGATTAAGTAATTTTTATCAGCAAAATGGACTAATGATTATTTTGAGACCACTCTGCAGCTTGTACCTCGTTCTTTACACTATTGCCATAGCAGGATCCCTGCTATAAAAGCTCTTCAAGAACGGTCTCCTATAATGTGGTCTACAATTGCCAAAACTTGCTTCTCGTGAAATGCACATTTTATATCAACACATCAGAGTCAGTTGCTCATAGAATGCTACCAGTGCTCAATACAATGGTTTATATTTTGTGTCTACTTTCAGCATATTGTAAACTGTTTTTACTGCCCTACAGTGGGAAAAGGTACACTGGCTATTGAGTTAGGAACATGCAGCCACCTGTATGCAAGCATATCAAAATGTCTACCACACTGGGAGACTACTAGGAAGTTTTTTTAGATGGTGGCTGGTCCAAGCAAGATTGGCGCATATGTATCAAAATGTCTCGAGTGTCTGGTGGAGGTGCAAGTGCCAACTTGAAACCATGTTATATAGTTTTTGGGAATCCACCCAAGTATGGTCCTCAGTACAAGCTACTAGGGACCACCAAAAGATTGCATATAGACTTATGGGTATACACATTAAATTCACACACATATGGCACATGAGACAACTTTTTCACATAGAAATCAAGCCTCATACCGAAGTGTATTAACAATCTTTATGTCCCACTTTCCTTCTGGTTTTTAACGCTCATGGTTTCAGACAACCGAGATTACTTAAAGTCAGGTTATGCGATAGAATATGTAACTGTGGTATTCTTTTTGTGACATGATGTAATGCGCTATGGGAGTTGAAAGCTTTCCTTGTATTGTCACCGCTATAGTTTATTTCTTAGACACATGCCTGTATTCATAATATTGTAATCACAACCGTATGCCTTTGCTGGTCTTGTACTAAAAAAAAAAGTTTGATTTGGGAGAGCGGGTGTTTTTAAAATAAGAAAGTGTGGTCATAAAAAAAAAAGTACAAATTTCAAGCAAGTATTTTTTGATCTGTACATTTTCTGGCACTTTCAAGATAACATGTATACCATGTTGAGTGTTTATTGTCTGAATGTTTTGTAAATAATAGGGTCCACTTAAATAGAAAAAAACAAAGGCAGTCATTTAATATTACTTGTTTATTTCCCAGAATCAACTGGCCAATCCTGTAGCAGGGTAAACTTAAATGGAAACTATATATGAAATACACAAGTTTCTACTGTATGAAAGTATTTTACTCGCAAATATGTATATATTTTTTTATTTTCGATTTCCTGTTCAGGAAGTGCTCAAGAGAGCAAGTGAAAAGGAAAATTGCTTCCCCTAACCAGCTTTAAAAAAATGGCACATACAAGTTTTTCTAAATATCTTACATTCAGACATGATACAGAGATATGAATATAAACATTTAGGAAAACATTTTTCATAAAAGTAGAAAAGTGTTAATTTTAACTTTAGTTTCCCTTTAATAGAAGGGGGATGACCCTCAGCTACAGATACAGAAGATTGGGACACAGATAAATGGCATTGACATAGGTGAGATTATTCACATTGCAAAGAGGATTAGGAAAGCAACCATAAGACAGAAGAGTCCCATAGCTTCAGACAGAGCAAATCCCAGGATGGCATAGGAGAAAAGCTGCTGCTTGAGAGAAGGGTTCCTATGGAGAAAGACAACTCATTATCAGGCATACATTGTTAGAGACATTCTAATAAATGCATTGCTTATACATAGCGTGTTTTATATTTGAGGAATAACAGTAATGGCTTGAATGACTTAATTACACAGATTTTTCAACTCTTATTTTGAGATCAAAAACATTAAAATGGCAAGTCTAATATATTCCTAAACTGGCACAGGATTCACTGCAATAGAGAATGAAACTAAAACCATATTTACTGTCAACGCTGGACATATATAGTTTAAATTTGCACTCCAGTCATCAGCAAAAACATTAATGTTCATAGTTTTTTTACATACCAATTTTTGTATGATCAATACTGTAGTTTTTGTGAATATACATATACAAGCATCTTGTGTCAGACAGTATATGAATCTAACAATCTCTATGGCAGGCATCCCCAAACTCCGGCCCTCCAGATGTTGCTGAACTACAACTCCCATGATTCTATGAATGAAATAGGCTGAGAATCATGGGAGTTGTAGTTCAGCAACATCTGAAGAGCTGGAGTTTGGGGAAGCCTGCTCTATGGTCTTCCCTGCTTCAGTCAATGCATCCTTTGCAGTATATTAAACAGGGGAGACTTGCGGATGCTTGAAAGCAAAGAGCAAACTCTACTAATTATATCCCCACACATGTTTTTACAGAAGACCACACTGTATCTGATCTTTGTCAAACTGATTATGTCATTGCACTTCTATATTTCAAAAGGTTTTGATTTTGTTTTACTTACACTGCAATCCGGGGTGTACTGGCCTAAATTCACATATCTAATTTGTATATTAAACAATTAAAAAAAAAAAAAACGTTTATATAGTTTACTACATGTATAATGTACATTAGTTTTAAAGCTTATGACAATGTGTGTACACAGCCATGCTCGATCATTACTTTTCAAAAAGGCCAGTTACGTTTTTCCTTTAGAGTCTTTTTTGTGACATGCGTGTATATTGTCTTTTACCACATTTCTGGTCAAGGCGTGAATTAAGAACAACAAGCTCCAACGTATCCAAGAAATTTGCAGATCAAATAGCAGGCAAGAGAGGTAACAGCAAAAACTATGTTTTACCTGGCATAGCCAATAATCAGGCTTCCAAACACAGTGCCAATACCAGCACCAGAGCCTGCTACTCCAACTGTGGCAGCACCGGCGCCAATGAACTTAGCAGCAGTGTCAATGTCCCTGCACACTGCACTGCTCTGGATCCCTCGTGCTGGAACAGGTAGCAACTGCTGTAAATACATTAAAGAATGACAATTGTGTTATTCAAACACAAAGCAATGGGTATTAAGTTAATACAGTTTTTAAAATGTATTTCAAAACATATATGTTAGGTGACTGTCCTGTGTGTGTGCTAATTCTAGAAATAGGCAGAAGCTTTTTACTATAAAAACAAAACCAGGTTTAAAAAGAACAGCACAAAAAGGTTTAGTAATAAGTCAAGTGTAGATAATTGTGAAAAATTTTCCAGGACTGGTTTGCAGGCCGACAAATGTCTAAACCTGAAAAAAAAAAGGAACAATAGAGTAAAGAACCAGGCCCACATCAGAGCTCACCTTCCCTGATAGAGCAAAGCCTCCCTCGGCCTCAGATGCCCCAGCTCGCTCCAGAGAAAAACCAAAAAGAGTGTCTACCAATCCTGCCAGGGCAGGCAGAGAACTGGGGTCTCTATGTCAGTATGGAGGTTTACACTATGTGGGGAGGAATATCATGAGGAGCGTAACTTTGAAATCTCTAGTTTGCATGCCTGCCTGCCCTCATGCCAAGACACTGTGTCATATCCCTGTTGTTGTGCACTGCCTCTGCTCTGGAGGAGGGAACAAAAAATATATATATACCTCTACATTTATTTTTTTCATGATTTTTCTTGAGATTAGTTTTGCTTTATCAGACTGGCTATAGTGACTGCACCCACTTCCTGTGCACATTTGTATTCCAATAAAAATGAATAGATTTGAGTTATGTCAACAATTATGACATTCCAAGATCTACTACATGTCAAAAAGAGATCCTCATTTTAGAGTCAAAAGCCCCTGCCTTCTTACAGCAGCCAGGAGAGCCTGAGGTTCGAGGTTCGAGGTTCCTGCCGATTAGCTTTCGTTAGCTCTTCTGAAATAAGCTCAACAGTGCTAGCTCATACACAGACTGAGAGCTCCTGACTCAAGTCAAACCATTCTAAAGTGGTTTGCCTGTTAACATTGGGAGGACAACACTATTGCACTCATAGCACCACAACTATTACAGCCTGCTGACGGTGGTTATGGTACTCCGCAGTTTTTCTTTAAGTATTCTGAAAATTGCACCTAGAAAGTACTGCTACAATTGCATGTCTCTGCACAGGCTGCAAATTGATGACAGTTAAAATATAAGTCATCAGTTTGCAGCCTTGAGTTATAACTGTTGTACATGTTTTTATTTTATTGACACATGATAACTTTTTTTTATTACCCGTCCCCCCCCAACAAAACCTGAATAAAAATATTATACACATAAGCACCAACTGTTATCTTGAAGCATATTTAGATAAATACCTGCTCTGTCCTAAGTACGGTGTAGTTCAGAAGTGGGGCAGATAGTGGACGGCAGAGAATACTGGCTCCATTCCTTATCTGAACACACAAAAAAGGACAAAGAAAGCAAACTTATTTAAATAAATCATAATATATTATATATACACACACACACTGAAGGTGAATTGAAAAAAGACCAAAATAGTGAAGTTGGGAGATTCTCCAACACAGCATTCAGCCTGAATTTTGAAATTTTGGGTGATTCCTCCGACCTAATTTCCACTATTAGAACTTTCAAAATAAACACATAACATTGAAATGTGAGCTTACATTAATTCCAGATAAATGTGATCTGCATACCATGTTGAGCTCACAATGATGGAGTACAATAGATATTTACAAACTTTAAAGGGTGACTTCAATTTAAAGTATATATATTTATTTATTTTTAAGAAAGTGTTCCTATATGTTTAGATTATTAGGAATCTAATTTCAGCATTTAAAGGGAGTCTCCAGTGCCAGGAAGACAAATCTGTTTTCCTGGCACTGCAGAATCCTGCAGTGCCCCCTCCCACGTTGCTGAAGGGGTTAAAACCCCTCGGCGCTGGGTCAGTCTCCGCCCACACCGACATTAGCCAGCGGGGGAGACCTAATGCGCATACACGGCAGAAGTGGTCTGGGTGCCTGGAGTGTCCCTGTAAGTACCAGGAGTCTCCTCACTGTAGCTCCGATCTGCCTTCTGTTACTGATCATTTTTGTCCAATCAAATGCTTGTGCTACAATCTAATGTGCTAACAATGCTCCTCAAGGAAAGGCATTGAAACAAATGTCGTGCCATTCAGCATCTCCTTAATAGAAATAAAGTGGCTCAATGTATCTCAATGGGGAGTGTCCAACTCTGCATGAAGACGCCAAATGTCTGTGTTGCTAAGATTGCAGGACCACTTAAGGAAGTGTCTCAAGTAGCTGTTTCAGTGACAGCCACTAGGGGTGGCCTTAGAACACAATAAAAACACAAAAAAAGCAGAGTTTGCAATGCTAAGGCTGCAGAGATAGTCTTTTTGCACCAGAACCAATACATTAGGCTTTAATGATGCTGGTCCTTAGAGTGGCTCCTCAAAAAATTTGCATGTCGGTGGCAGAGCCTGGACTGCAAGCAGACAAGACGTGCATCACATGAGCACCTGCTGCACATGCTGATTGCCCAGTGATATCCTGGGCTGGCAGCTCGGAGACCTCTGTTCAAGGTGACCTCCATGCTGGGGGCACCTTACTCTATCTGCAGGTACCTTCCCCGACGCTCTGAGACACCGTGAACCACGGCAGCAGGTTGAGGCCTACTGGAGTCCAAACGAGGGAGAGACGGCCGCTCTCCTCCCACTGAACTATGCTACTATACACGTGACATTCCAACCCCCCCCCCCACCCCTGGACCGGCGGGGGATATCCCGGTCCCCCCCGGAGAGCAGTCAGCTACATCAACATTACCCAACTGAAAAACTGAGCAGATCACAGTGCAGCTCACAATCCCAAGATGGCGGATGCAGTCTGCACGAACGCACATGACACGATCGCAACCAAAAGGGCACTCAGTGATACATATCCCTACTCCCTGAGGCGGCTGGACCAAGTATTCCAGGCCTTTTGGCTCAAGATCGTCTACAAGACACCACTACCCATGGCTCAGCACAGCGGAAGGGAGACAGAAGAAGAGGGCACTCAGGCAGGGTGAAGCCTCCTCGGAGCATAAAACAAATGAGACTTCCACAAGCTCACTTACGCTCACCCAGGCAGAGAGCCACACGAGGCAAGACCTATATGCATCGACCGCACAGGCGGAGAACAGCATACAGACGGAGAACAGCATACAAGCGGAGAAAAACCCTCACCACCCTCGCCCCCCCTCTGTGATGGGGAGAGATCTGGTCCCTCAACGTATCCAAGCCTGTGGCTTCCAGATGCCAGCCCTCCTGCAGGCATGGGGCCGAGGAGACACCATGCTCTGGAGTACCAAGAGCCCAAGCGGCACTACCTCCCTGCCACCTAGAGGAATTGGCTAATTTAGCATCTGGGACTAATACATGGACGCATTATCTCCTTACCAACCAGAGCAGCAAAATTTTGTGTTTTACATGCCATGCACCAAGCCTTGAGTAGTATGTTTGTTTTTTTTCTTATGTTTTACTTTCCTATTTTACCTCTCCACAGCGTTCCTAACAGCTTGCCTAGATGCGCAGGCTTTCATAATGACCGTATCTAGTTAATTTCAATGTAATAGCTAATATGATGACTCTCCGTTTACTCTCGTGTATGACAAAATTGCTTAGCTTGATGTTTATCTTGTTTCTAATATACCATAAAATAATGCAATTCCTTCTAAATACCCCAATTGTCACATGAGATGCTATGCTTGAGGAATGCCGTTGGGGTACCTTTAACTTGCCTGTACTAGACCTATGCACTGCAAAAAAAAAAAAAAAAATTAACAAAATTTGCATGTCTATACCAACAGAAAAATATAGTACAATTTTAAACTAATAAAAGATTGCTATTCAAGTACAGAAAAGGTGTAAAGTGATGGTTTATTTATGTTTTAACTAGCCACAAGTATACCATACCTTTCATACATTTTAAAACTAGTACCGTGGGAGTTACTTACCAGGGCTGGGGATGACACAAACTTGGCGCAAGCGTACATTCTGAATGGAAGGTAATAACAGGAGTATTACACTGGAAGAAGCTGAAATAAAAAAAAAAAATTATTATTATGTCTGTAACTTTGAATGCTCTGTTACGAATGCAAGTCTACATCTGACATGTTAAATTTATTCTTGCAGACAAGAATTTTTTTTTTCTTTTCTAAAAGCTAATGTGTTCATTAAAAATACATCTTGCTGAAGAATGCAATTGCCCCAGCATACATATAAATAGGCTTATAGAATACCGTGTGAAATGCCAACCCTTACACAGGTCAGCCAGGACTGCCTGCTGCTCACTGCTGACACCAAGCAAGCTAACCACTGGCACTCCAGCTGCTGTGGACTACATTTCCCATAATGCTCAGTAAAGTATCAGCGGCCCACAGCAACCGAAGCGCAAATGTTTGATGTGTGCTTATGGATAGCTATGGATCTACAGCCTCAATAGGCACCTAACTGAACCGAAGAGCTGACAATCTCTTGCAGCTGGAGCAAGGTCACATGTACAATGAGAGCTCGGAGATCCAAGCGGAGTTATTACTGGGCAAACAGCACGACACCGCACTCAGTGTGCTCCCCTGTCAGTCTGACACCCCCCTTCTAACCGGGTAAGAGAGCGCGGCCGCCGGCGCTATAATCCTGACAGAGAACTGGGCCTCACCTTGGCGGGGACAGACAGAAAGAAAAATCACAGGGCGCATGCGCACAAACCCCGCTCTGACAGGGACATCACTGAGCATGCGCACAAACCCCGCTCTGCCAGGGACATCACTGAGCATGCGCACAAACCCCGCTCTGACAGGGACATCACTGAGCATGCGGACAAACCCCGCTCTGACAGGGACCGCACTGAGCATGCGCACAAACCCCGCTCTGACAGGGACCGTGCTGAGCATGCGCACAAACCCCGCTCTATCGGGGCCCGTACTGGGTATGCGCACAAACCTTGCTCTGACACAGGCCGTACTGAGCATGCGCACAAACCCTACTCTGACAGGGACCGCACTGAGCATGTGCACAAACCCCACTCTGACAGGGCCCGCACTGAGCATGAGTACAAACCCCGCTCTGACAGGGACGGCACTGAGCATGCGCACAAACCCCGCTCTGACAGGGACCGCACTGAGCATGCGCACAAACCCCGCTCTGACAGGGACCGTGCTGAGCATGCGCACAAACCCCCCTCTGACAGGGACCGTGCTGAGCATGCGCAGAGTACAAACCCCCTCTGACAGGGACCGTGCTGAGCATGCGCAGAGTACAACCCCAGCTCTGACGCGCCAATACCGAGCATGCGCATATATTCCGCTCTGACACGGATCATACTGAGCATGCGCACAAACCCCGCTCTGACCGGGACCGCGCTGAGCATGCGCACAGTACAAACCCAGCTCTGACGCGCCAATACCGAGCATGCGCATATATTCCGTTCTGACACGGATCATACTGAGCATGCGCACAATTTCTCACACACCACAGGGCCTACCACATAATTCCTCGGGCACTACCTGTGCCTAGTAAAATCCCGCGCACGCAAGACTTTCTGCGCATGCGTATATATGAAGCCTTTACAAGGCTGGTGTTGCGCGTGTGGACAATGCTTGCTTTGGAAACATGAAGGCGGACGATAAAGAGGCACAGCGCCCCCTGCTGGTACGGAGTGCTCCGTTACATTGTCAGCTCGGTTTAGGGATGAAAAGCCTTTTTTAGGGAGGGAATATTGTAATTGTGATACATATGTTGTGCTAATGCAGTGTTAGTTTTATCTGTGTTTGTACATGTGGACTTTATGTAAATGAGGTGATGTAGCTATATTCAGCCTTTAAGGGACCATAAAATGATACAATTCTCTCCATTCCTCCCAACATTCCACATGGACAAAGAGGAACACTTTCATTTAGGGATGGGAGTGTGACCAGGGGTGGGGCTGTTCTGAGAAATTCTAGGTGACCTTATAATAAATTATACAAATAAAATGTACCGGTAATTTGGACTGATTTTTAAAAACATTTATTGTAGTTTTTTCCCCTTAAGGGCCAAGCGTAATTTGTTTGTTTTTCACTTAAAGGGACACTTTAGGCACCCAGACCACTTCATCTCATTGAAGTGGTCTGGGTGCCGTGTCGCTGTGCCCTGTAACCCAGCAATGTAAAACATTGCAGTTTTTAGAAACTACCGTGTACACATTGCATGGTTAAGACTGTCTATGGTGGCTGCCTAACAGACAGCCACTATAGGCTCTGACTGAAATTTCACAGAGTTTGGTTCCATGAAACAACCCCGCTCTGCATGATGACATCCAGCGTCAAGCAAAACCGCAAAGTATGGATTCAATGCTTTTAAGCGAGGAAGGCCTAATGTATGTGCGGCACTCGCCGCTCATGCAAATTAGTTACCCCCCATGAGCTGATGTCACAGGAGGAGGAGAGTGACTTGGCGCTGGAATGAAGTAAGTGATTGAAAGGTGTTTTTTTTAACCCTTTCATGGCCAGAGGATGGGGCTGCGGGAGCAGAGAAACACATTTCTGTTATAAATACATCTTTGTATTCCTAACACTAAAGTGTTCCTTCAAGGACCAAAGTAATTTTTGCACTGTGTGTGTTCAACCTGATGCTGTTTTTTAAAAAGGGCTTTGATGTGACATATATAAATTCCCATTTGTTATAAGAAATTCACGGGGGGGCGGAGCCTGACAGCGCATGAGAGCAGTCGCCATTCTCCCGAGCTCCGACAAAAGAGAGCAATAACTAGCATAAAACAAATACACCGAACCCCAACTAACCACACGAGTACCAGAAAACAACAGGGTACGACCCGCTGATCACGTCGATGCCGTTCTTCCAACCCGCGGCAAGAAAAGCCCGCAGCCGCGGCTCCAAGGCCTACCGCGCGGGAAACCTCCAGCTCGAAGCAGACTGGGCTCCCTGCATGTGGAGCGACCTTGGCCTACCAGACCCGAACACACGCATAACGGAGGAGATGGGTCGGAAGTCCCAGAAGCAACCCACAAACACTCACCGTGATATTGGCCAGATGCTGCGAACGCCAGGGCCAAACACGGCCCAGAATCAACAGGTAGATGGAGGGGAGTCTTCCCGCGAACAAACCCCAGCAGAAACCAGGAAAACGACCCCACCCAGGGCAGAAGACACAGCCCCAGCAACAAAGGGGGACATACAGGACATGCTAACCAACCTTCAAAGAAACCTCCGACAAATGTGGGAAGCTGACCTGGCAGCACTGAAAACAGAGGTACAAACACTAAATGCTCGCACAGAAACGAATGAGACAGACATACTTACCCTCAGATAGGGCCTCAAAGCACTAAACGAACAGATGAATCAAAAACAAGCCCAACAAGTCAACCTCACTAACCAAGTCAGCATAATAGACGACAGGGGCAGAAGGAAAAACATCAAGGTCAGAGGAGTCTCAGAGACAGTACCCTTAGAGGAACTACCACACTTCATTAGACGGCTGGTGTCTTCCCTCATCCCAACGCGACAGGCTAAACACTTTACCTACGATGGGGTATATAGGATATCTAAATCCCCACAAGCTCCCACCACAGCACCACGGGACATCATCCTCCGTTGCCACTCGCTAACGGACAAAATGGGCCTGCTAGTCGCCCTTAAAGGGAAAACCCCATACAAATTTGAAACCAGCACCATATCAGTCTTTCAGGACTTGAGCAGATCTACACTGTTATGGAGAAAGGGAATGCAGCCCGTCACGAAACTCCTCCAAATAGCAGGACTAACATATAGATGGTCAACACCCAGAACGCTCCTGGTCACGAAAGACGGGAATACATACAAAGCGTCAGACCCTGCAGACAGCACTGCCTTGATGACAGCACTGGGCCTCACTACCCGCTCCAGAAACACCCAGCACACGCCCACACAGCATAGAAGACTCCCCTAATCTCACGGACGGAGAGGAGGAAAGAGGCCAAGCAACCTGAACTCACAGAACGCGCATGTTATTTACGTTAATGTTTTACCTATGTTTTAATGTTCGATTACACACTACTACAAACACACTTATGTCGGGCTCACACCACGTAGCGGCAGCTCCGCGACCCGACTACACAACTCCTTCCCCCCCACCCCCCGTGCCCCAGGGTCAAGGGACACAACCAACCATGGAGCGCTACACCCCACACCGGGAACCAGACAAATAGGGGACACATAACCAACGCACGTAGCCATAACAGGCGAACCCCAAGAACTAAATAGACACCCACCACCCACGCTCCGAACCACAACCCATTCCCATATAGAAGATGACCTGTTCGCTAGGCGAAATAACATTCTGAATCAACCCTACACACATGGGACGTGGCAGACTCTACCGGCACAAAACGATAAGGGTACGCTAGACCACTACGACGGAACAAACTAGTTAAACTACCCCACTTCAGTAGGCACTCTGAGTCACAGAGATGAGGGACACCAGACGTAAAGAGGGAACTATACACCCACCCCAGCATACGAGGTGACCCAACACATAGAATGACGGGTAGTGGGACAAATGCCCTAAAAGCCTCAAGGCCAAAACAGTCACCGCACCCCCATAATGTTCATAAGGGTGAGGAATCACCGGATCACAATCTCTCACCCAGCAACTATCAGTACTCTCATAGGCACCTCGTTACAACCCACCAGACCACTATACAAAAACGTGCATTTAATGTTATAGCCAAACCACTGTATGGACATGTTTGTTACATTAACTTAACCTTATACAATAGTGGCATAAGCAGAAATGTCTGTATCACTGTTGATGCACTGAAAAATAAAGAATTTAAAAAAAAGAAAGGGGGGAGGGGAGGTTGCAGTTGGTTCTCACCTCCCCTGTTGCATGGCCGGGTAAGAAGAGGGGGAGGGGGGAGTAAGAAGGGGGGGTAAGAAGAGGGGAGGGGGGCAAAGAAGAGGGGAGGGGGAGGTGAGGGGGGGGGGTAAGAACAGGGGGAGGGGGGAGTAAGAGGGGTGCCATATGCGATACGCAGGGGATGTCAATTATAATAATATTAACAGAAAAAAGTTCTGAGCTACCCTTATTTTGCTTCAAAGTTCTTTATTTGAAATTTAAGTTTTTTTTTTCTGAAATTTCTTTCTTAAAATGAGGTGCGTGTTATACGCCGGTGCGTGTTATACGCCGATAAATACGGTATTTTCCTGATGAAGTCTATTGTATAGACGAAACGCGTAGAGCTGTGTTGATTTTTGCCTGGAATTCCTGTTACCTGCTTCTTCCATTTACCACTCTGGAGAGAGGGATACAGACCTTTGACTGGCATTTTTATTTTCCACTTCTTGTAAGTGTTCCAATATTATTACGATTTCACACTATGTCCAGGCGCTAATGGGGTTAAAATCCCTTCAGTTACTTACTTTAATCCAGCGCCGGGATCTGGTGACCTCTCCTCCCCCGCCGACATCAACTCCCGAGTAGAGCAGAATGCGCATGCGCGGCAAGAGCTGTGCGCGTATTCAAACAGTCCATAGGAAAGCATTTCTCAATGCTTTACTATGGCCATTCTGCACGCTGAATTATTTTCGATGTTAGTGCTGGGTAGGCAGTATAGCTAGGGTTGCCATATCCACACATAATTATATCTTGTTAACTGGCAGCACATGAAAATGCTGCCCTGTATTATGGATAATGTATATGCTGCTGGGTTCCTGATTGATTTATCACCTGATTTACTAGCAGCAGTATTTGATTTAGACATATTGCAAGTCAGCACTTTCTGTATGATGCCCATCAATTTGTGTAAATGATATGTGTCCTGGAAAACAT